TCGATAGGGGAAGACCAGGAGGTCCCCTAGTGTCAACCTGGGTTTGATTGGGTTATTTAGGGTTTGGCCGGAGAAGATTGAAATTGATATTTGAGCACTTCCGGCCAGATTCGAGGGATGAGGTTAACGGAATTAGGTAGGGGAGACTCAGACGAACCTAGGGTGTTAATTTGGGACTATTTGGCATACTTTGGGTCTTGGCCGGAGAATCTTTGGTTTAATATTTGACGCTTTTGGCCGGGATTTGAAGGAGACCATTTGCATATTTGGAAAGAGGGTGAAAAGGGGAAGCTGGGGTGTTATTTTGGTGAAGTTTGGAGATTCTCCGCCGCCGTGGGCGATTTCCGGCGGCGGAGCACGGCGGGGAAACGGTGGTGGCGTGGTGGGGAAAGGCAGCGTTACAGGGAGTGGTTGTACGAGGAGGGAGAGAAATGTTTAGGGTTTTGAGTTAGCTTTCGGACAGTTTTATTGAATGGTTTGGGTTGATGAGGGCCGTAGGATCATGGGGAATGGATGGCCAGGATGGACTGACGCCAAACGGCGTCGTTTTAGCTCTGCCTGGCCGGACCGGACCAAGACCTTTGGGCTTGGGAAATGGGTATTTGGAAAGGGTCTTGGGCTGGGGCTAGCACGAAAATGGCCCAAATAACCTGGCCCTTGATTGTTGTTTATTTTCTTCTTTTCTTTTCTTTTGTATTCTATTTTATTTATTGTATTTATTGTTTTTGCAAAATTAACAAAACCTAATTTAACTCCAAAATTGGACCAATTAACTATCTAAAAATAGAATAGATCCTAGTCAACAAAAGAAAACTAAACCAAAATGCAAAAATGCAAGCAAGTGACTATTTTTGTAATTTTCTTTATATTTTGTTCTTAACCCCTGAATAATCCTAAAATATGAAATTAGATCCTGAATGCAAATGTCAAGCATATTTTATATTTTCATATGAGTTAAAATGCACAAATAAAATGTAAACAACTAGACAAATTCACAACTTGTAAAATAATGATAGAAAAATCATTTTGTTTGGATTTTTGGGAATAATTCACTTAGGGCAAAAATCACGTGCTCACAGGAAACCCCTCATCTTCCACCACTTCCACTCCCTCCTCGAGTAGGGATACATCATTCTCTGGCACCGGAGCACCTACAGCTTTATCGGAGTGGGAATAAGTACTAGCCATTTGTTTTCTTTGATCGAAAGAAGCGAAGATGATAAATGAAAAAGACAATGGTCACTGCAAATCCTAGCAGAAGCAGAGATATGTGAGATTAAGGAAAGAGGAGAAGACTTGTGAAATTCTCTCTTAAGCAATCGAAAAATGTAACGTTCAAATGAGGAGCCTCCTCCCCTTATTTATAGGGATATAAATGTCTTGAGCGGGAAAACCAAGAGCCGCCAGTTAGAAAATGGAAAGGGCACGAGAAACGACACAATACCTAGAAAACGTGCGCCATAATGACGCATGGGGAATATTGATGACACCCTGAACTGACGTGATGGTCCAATCTTGAACTGACGTAACGGTCTGACGCGATCCTCGAAGTGTCACGTTGCTACCTCGCCATGAGGTTCTCTCCCCTCGCATAAAGCATTCAGATTTCTCCCAATTTTTGAATCAATAGGGTCCGCCCATCGAGCTCGCCTATAGGTGACCCCGACGGGCGGAGGGACTAAGTGTATGGGTCAAAATCTGACCACATGTGGATTAGCGCTAACAGGAATGGTAAGAGGTCAACTAAGCCGTGGTCGTACCCACAGGGTGTAATAACAACGAATACCTCGGCCACTGCCGAGATCGAGCCATCAAAAAGCCTGTATGGTGAAGTAAATATCGTGGTATTTGAGGGAGGCGACGTAAAGGACAATCAAGGGATGAAGACATTCTGGTTAAGGACCGATGGACAAAAGGGAATACTGATAATATATATAGGAGGTAAGAAGACAAGAAAAGGGGGCTTCCTCTCCGAGAGAAAGGAGAAGAACAGAAGACCAAGAAAAGGCTTAGATAGCAAATACAAATCTCTGTAATCGTGATTATTGAATCAAGGAAGCTAGATCTCGTTACTGCCAATGGCATTCCATCTATTCCATTTTTATCACCACATTATGGGATGATATGTCAAGAATGTAAGCCTATCATCTATATTTGATATCTTATATGATACTGGAAATTTATAAGTTTGATTATATCTGATTCTCTTACCTGATATGCGGATTTAGAGTTAATTATCCTTGGCTAAGATTTATCCTCTATTTTCTTCATTAATTAATTTAACAAAAAGCTTGATACTTTTTGGTCAAATAGTTTAAACTATGTTTTCTCAACTTCAAGTACCTAAATAAATCGCCCTGCTCCACTTGAAAACAACGTTTTATGATGGTGGATTTTAATGAAACATTGACCCTACTGCATCCCACTTGATAAAAGAAAGATCTAGAAAGTCTTTTTCTTCCCACTTGGGTAGTCATTGTTGTCCAAAACCTGTAAACACCAACATATCAATTCCTCCTCTCCAATATCACGGGACACAATTTGCATCTCCATGCACCACCCGAGCCACACGCACACCCTTCTTATATGGATAATCACTAAAAAAAAAAAACTGAAATTAGCTACAAACGAATCATTATTCTATCATTAAATCATTCGTAGTAAGAAGGGGAATTTTGACGCAAGTGATAAAATTGTTGCCATGTGACCAAGCTAAGAGGTTACGGGTTCGAGCCGTGAAAACAACCTCTTGCAAAAGGCAGGGTAAGGCTACGTGCAATAGAACCTTGTGGTCCGGTCCTTCTCCGGACCCAGCGCATTGCGGGAGCTTAATGCACTATACTGCCTTTTTAAATCGTTCATAGTAAATAAATTTTTTTAGTAATCTATCCTTAATCCGTCGTTAATCCTTGTCCGTTGCTAAACAAGATAAGCGAATTTTCTGTTTAGCAACAGAACTTTTCTGTCGCTAATTCTTGTTTTTTAGTAGTGAACTCTTATTACTACACGGATAAAATTTAAATACCCTACTCGTGTATATTTCTTCTACACTACTGGTATATTAATTCATTAAACCAATTGTTCGTCTTATTTTTGTTTAACTAATTTCACTCATGATGAACAACTATACTACTATGTGGTTATCTTTACACTTTTAACTACTCTAATAATGTAAAAATCCGTTTTTACCAACTTATATAAAAATTAAACTCTTAACTAATATAATGTTGCTTTCGCTTAATCATGAACTCTTACTAAAATTAAACAGCACACCCTTTTTAAGTTATGGATAACTCTTTCTAAAATTAACAGATAGTATAAGGTTAAAAGGGCAGCTCCGGGACAAAGTACTCCACGTTCATCTAGGGTTCGGGAAACAGGGCTGGATGTAGAGTTTGGCCGTCGGGTTCAACTGAACCAAGTACTTTTAACACGGAGCATAAAATTTATATGTAAAAATTCATTAAAATTGCTACAAATGGTAGGTTTGAATCCATAATTTTAAAAATACTATGAGTTCAATGCTATAAACCTTAAAAGTTGAATTCATAGAATCTAAGAGGGTGTTTGGCTAAGCTTATAAGTTGGTCAAACTAGCTTATAAGCACTTTTTAGCTTATCTACGCGTTTGGCAAAATTAAAAGTGCTTATAAGCCAAATGCTTATAAGCCAAAAGCCATAAGCTGGTCACCACCAACTTATACTTTTTTAGCTTATAAGCACTTTAAGTTTGACCAAGACTTTTACTATTTTATCCCTAAAGTATTCCTTTTCAAAACAAAACTCATGTATCCCTACGTCAAACCTATTTCTTCACTGCCTCACGTATTTCTTTAAACCTACACCCTTTGCCTCTTCAAGTCTGCAATTCTCACTAATATTTGAGGTAAGCAAATTCTCTATTTCTTTGCCGTATTCTCTATTCCTCCATGATGAATCCTATAAAGTTATGCATTAGGTCTTCAACTATGTTACAAAGTTATATAACTTATGATTATATGCTTTTCATAAAATAAATTATATTTATCGTAAAAATTATCTTATCCAATCATAGTTATATTTAAAATAAAATGACAAATAGAATAATTTGTATTTGAATCGATCTCGAATCTGAAATTTTGAAAAAATTACACCCTTATATGTGTAAACAGTTCTAAGGTTATTTAAGTCATTTTAACAGAAAAAGAGCTTATCGGCACTTTTTATTAAATAATGCAGCAACTTATTATCAATTTCAGCACTTGTATCCAAACACGTAAATGCTTATTTATTAAATCAGCTTCAACACTTAAAAGTGCTTTTCAGCATCTAATGCTTATCAGCTACTTCAAATTAGCTAGTCGAAACGGGCTCTAAATCTTGAATCCGCCTCTGTTTGGAAATGATCTAATTCCAAGGAGTGTAGTGTAGACAGCCTACCCTAATACCAATATTAGTGGTTGCTTTCACGTCCGTGAAACCGTGACCTATAGGTCATACGGCCAACTTTACCGTTTTATACTAATATTCAGCAAAAAATGAAATCAATATATAATTAATGACATTGCATCCTTGCAAAGAGTGCTTCTTGGTCCACTAGTCAAGCTTATGTTTTAGCTTGTAAAGGTCATAGGTTCAAGGTTGGACTTGGACATTCTATTTTTCGGAAAAAATTGAGTGAGCATTTTCGTTAAAAAATTGAGGCTTAAGGAGAATTGTTCACTTCTCTTTCCAATAATATTCAACTATATCATTGGCCAAAACTCTTTAGCTTAAGGGAAAATAATATTAAATATTATTTATTTTATTTATATAAATACGATACCGTTCATGAAAAGTTCTGCCTAAGTTCCGGCTTCAGCGCGTCCCCTTCAACAGATACTATAAGGTTGGTTTCCCTATTTCCAGCTAATAATCACAAACAGTGTTCAAACCGTTTCCCAAAATCTCATACCCCACCCACCCCTCGTGGTGGAGAGGTACGTGTGGGTACGTGTGTGCAATATACATATATAGACACAAAAACACACTCTTCACTTCAACTTTTCAAACTTCTTTCAACAAAAAATATCAGACAATATTGCAATGACAACACCAGACGAAGGATTAACGTTGGAACTCATACGACAACATCTCCTTGAAGATTTCACAAGTACAGAATTATTCATCAACAGCCTTAATTCTTGTTTTACCGATCATATCTCCCCTGTTTTCACCTCAGTAAAAACAGAGCCTTCTACTTCCAATAATTCACTCTCAGTTTCTCTTACATCGTACCCAGATTCACCAATTTCCCATTATTTCAGCGATTTCCCAGAATTCAAAACAAATTCAGACACTAATCTTAGCCCAACATCCGACAGCTGTGTTAGTTCCAACTCGACTATTTCATCGGATACAACGAATAGTAATAATAATGAAAATAAGGTGAAGAATTACAGAGGAGTAAGAAGAAGGCCATGGGGTAAATTTGCAGCAGAAATAAGAGATCCTAATAAAAAAGGGTCGAGGATTTGGTTAGGTACTTTTGATGCTGACGTGGATGCAGCTAGAGCTTATGATTGTGCTGCGTTTAAGATGAGAGGTAGAAAAGCTATTTTGAATTTTCCGATGGATGCCGGAAAATCTGGTGCTCCGGCGAATATTGGCCGGAAAAGGAGAAGAGATAACGGGATAGAGCTTGAGATGCTGATCAATTTGTAACTATGTTTAAAATTTGCTTAGGAGAAAACAGTGTGTAACGGAAATGTGTGAATTTGTAACAAATAGAATTTTATTTATGGTAAATGTCTATATTTAGAGAGATTCTAGGGTTTATTACTTGGTGGTTAAGTCACTCTCTCCCTAAAATAGAGGGTTCTATTCCATTGTAATTCATCCCAAATTAATAAGAATTCTCTCTCTCTACTTTTCTCTGCAATACTCTTCTTCTTCTTTTATTGTTTCATAACACGTTATCAGCACGAGACTCTACCGTCTCAAGAAGATCTTTGAGAAGATTAAGCAAATATGGATATCTCACGAAAACAAACTTGGATCAAAGTTCAATTGTAAAAATATTTGTTTAGTTGATTCATGTACAACACATACAATATTCAAAGAGAAGAAGAATTTCTCTCATTTAAGTATGTGTAAGGCACATGTTACTACAATTTCTGGTAGTAGTAAATTAATTGAAGGCTCTGGAAGAGCTACTATAACTCTGCCTAAGGGAACAATACTTATCATAGAGAATGCAATGTTCTCCTCCAAGTCCAAGAGGAACTTGTTGAGTTTTAAAGATATCCGTCGAAATGGATATCACATTGAGACAATAGATGAGAATAATCTTGAATATCTCATCATTACCAAGAACGTCTCTGGCCAAAAGAGGGTTATTGAGAAGTTCTCATCTTTATCTTGTGGCCTGTATTGGACAAGAATTAGTGCGATTGAGGCACATTCTACCGTAAACCAAAAGGTTACTGATTCCAATACTTTTGTACTTTGGCATGATCGATTGAGACACCCTGGATCAATTATGATGAGACGAATTATAGAAAACTCAAATGGGCATTCATTAAAGAATTTAAAGATTCTTTTAAATAATAAATTTTCTTGCACTTCTTGTTATCAAGGCAAGTTAATTATTAGACCATCACCAACAAAGGTTGGAATTGAGTCCCCTGCGTTTTTGGAACGTATACAAGGGGACATTTGTGGACCTATTCACCCACCTAGTGGGTCGTTTAGATATTTCATGGTCTTAATAGATGCATCTTCTAGATGGTCTCATGTGTGCCTATTGTCATCACGTAACCTCGCGTTTGCAAAATTAATGGCACAAATAATTCGATTACGGGCGCAATTCCCCGACAATCCAATTAAGTCTATTAGACTAGATAATGCTGCTGAGTTTTTATCCCAAGCATTTTATAATTATTGCTTATCAATTGGGATAAAAGTGGAACATCCTGTAGCTCATGTTCACACTCAAAATGGCCTTGCAGAGTCTTTAATTAAACGTCTGCAATTGATAGCAAGACCGTTACTCATGAAAACGAGGTTGCCCACTTCAGTTTGGGGTCACGCCATTTTGTATGCAGCAATGCTAGTTCGTCTCAGACCGACAAATTATCATAAATATTCCCCGTTGCAATTAGTTTTGGGTCATGAACCTAATATATCCCATTTAAGAATTTTTGGATGCACAGTATATGTGCATGTAGCACCGCCATATCGCACCAAAATGGGTCCCCAAAGAAGGTTAGGAATATATGTTGGGTTTGAGTCGCCCTCGATTATTCGCTACCTTGAAACATTAACGGGGGATTTGTTTACTGCACGATTTGCAGACAGTCGATTCGATGAGACACTTTTCCCAAAATTAGGGGGAGAAGTTGGTGAAACCAAACGGGAAATTTTGTGAAAAAATCCATGATTATCTCATCTTGATCCACGTGCCTCTATTTGTGAAAAAGAGGTGCAAAAGATTATTCATTTGCAGAGAATAGCAAATCAAATGCCAGATGCATTTACGGATATGAAAAGGATAACAAAATCACATATCCCTGCGGAGAATGTTCCAATCCGTATTGATGTCCTTATTGGACAATCTTCTAGTGTCATAGCTAATGAGTCAAAAGCACGCCTAAAACGTGACAGACCATTAGGTTCTAAGGATCGAAATCCTGGAAAAAGGAAAACAAATGATCAAAATGACACTACGAAAGATTCTCATGAAGAAATCCACGATTTAACCAATCCTGAGATTCATGAGGAAATCACTGAGCCTGAGACTCAAGAAAATAAGGAACTATCAATAAATCCAATCGATATTGAGACAAATTTGAATCGAGTGGATATAGTGGTGGATTATGTCTTTACATATAATTTTGCATCTAACATTATGCAAGAATATCTTGAACCTCAATCTGTTGGAGAATGTCGACAAAGACTTAATTGGCCAAAATGGCAAGAAGCAATCCAATCAGAGTTGAATTCACTTGCAAAACATGAAGTTTTTGGGCCTATAGTCCAAACACCTAATGGTGTTAAGCCTGTTGGCTATAAATGGGTCTTTGTACGCAAGAAAAATGAGAAAAACGAGGTACAAAGATATAAGGCACGCCTTGTTGCACAAGGATTTTCACAAAGGCCTGGTGTCGATTATGAAGAGATATATTCACCCGTGATGGACGTTATAACGTTCCGTTATCTCATTAGTTTTGCTGTCCATGAAAGCTTGACATGCATTTAATGGATGTGGTTACCGCCTACCTTTATGGCTCACTTGATAATGAGATATACATGAAAATTTCCGAGGGATTTAAAATCCCTAACGCACATAATTCAAAATCCCGGGAAATATTTTCAATCAAATTGCAAAGATCTTTGTATGGTCTAAAGCAATCAGGACGAATGTGGTATAATCGTCTTAGTGAGTATTTATTAAAGGAAGGTTATACAAATGATGCCATTTTTCTATGTATTTTTATAAAGAAAACAACATCGAAATTTGTTGTACTTACCGTATATGTTGATGACAAAAACCTTATTGGAACTCCTATAGAACTCCAAAAGGCAATTGATTATTTAAAGAAGGAATTCGAGATGAAAGATCTCGGAAAGATAAAATTATGTCTTGGTTTGCAAATTGAACATTTGGCAAACGGAATATTTATTCATCAATCTACCTACATAGAAAAGGTATTGAAACGATTTTACATGGATGGAGCACATCCATTAAGTACTCCGATGGTTGTTCGATCACTTGATGTGAATAAGGATCCATTCTGACATCAAGAAGAGAATGAGGAGCTACTTGATCTTGAAGTACCATATCTTAGTGCAATTGGTGCACTAATGTATCTTGCTAACACTACAAGGCCTGACATAACTTTTTCAGTTAATGTCTTAGCAAGGTATAGCTCTGCTCCTACAAGGAGATATTGGAATGGAATCAAACACATATTGCGGTATCTAAAAGGGACTACCGATATGGGCTTATTTTATGGCAATAATTGCAGTCCTGATCTTGTTGGTTATATTGATGCTGTGTATTTATCTGACCCACACAAGGCTCGATCTTAAACAGGTTATGTGTTTACCTGTGGAGGCACTGCCATATCTTGGCGATCGACTAAGCAATAAATCGCGGCTACTTCATCTAATCATGCTGAGATAATTGCTATTCATGAAGCAAGTCGAGAATGTGTGTGGTTGAGGTCTATAATACATCTTATTCGAGACAAATGTGGTCTAAAATGTGACAAACTACCCACGATTTTGTATGAAGATAATGCAGCATGCATAACTCAATTGAAGGGAGGATTCATAAAAGGAGATAGAACAAAGCACATTTCACCAAAGTTATTTTTCACACATGATCTTCAAAAGAATGGTGATATTAATGTGCAACAAATTCGTTCAAGTGATAATATGGCTGATTTGTTCACCAAGTCTCCACCGACGTCAACCTTCAAGAAGCTAGTGTACAAGATCGGGATGCGATGGCTCAAGGATGTGAATTGATGCTCTCATCAGGGGAGTTAATGCGCGTTGCACTCTTTTTCCCTTACAAGGTTTTGTCCCACTGGTTTTCCTTGCAAGGTTTTTAACGAGGCAACCAATAGGCGCATTTCTAAACATGTGTACTCTTTTTCCTTTTCTAGAATTTTTTCCCATTGGGTTTTATTTTAATTAAGGTTTTAACGAGGCACATTATCTGTTGAATAGACATTCAAGGGTGAGTGTTATAAATAGAATTTTATTTATGGTGAATGTCTATATTTAGAGAGATTCTAGGGTTTATTACTTGGTGGCTAAGTCACTCTCTCCCTATAAATAGAGGGTTCTATTCCATTGTAATTCATCACAAATCAATAAGAATTCTCTCCCTCTACTTTTCTCTGCAATACTCTTCTTTTTTTTTTTATTGTTTCATAACAAGTATTTTAAGAGTTGTATTGAACTCCCTTCTGTTCAATTTTGTTCGATCTTACCATTGAGTAAAACAAATTTATAAGTTAAAAATATCTTACATTAATTATGAGTAATAATAGTAGAATGTAGTTAGAAAGAAAGAAAATTTAAATATTGATTGAGTAAATAAATTCAAATTCATGAAAGTGAACGTTATTAGATAATGCTGATAATGAAATTTATATAAGCCTTCTAGGAAGTCTCAAAATAAAAAAATAAAAAAATAAAAAAATTCCCTTCCGTTCCATTTTATGTTAGCATTTGCTATTTGGAGAGTTAAAGAAGATTTTCTTTTATTACGTTTTTACAAATGTTTTTTTAAATATTTTGTCTACATCTTTTGTTTGGATGATTTGACAAACTTCATGAGAGAATCAAATAAGAAATCTGATACAACTAATTTTCTTGCGTTAAGAGTAACTAGTTAGATGTCTGGTTCAATTCTCAATGAAATCAGATGAGGGAACAACAGAGGGAACAGATAGGGATTAGTTCCCTTGGTCGTTGTGCAGTCAACTCTACAGCTGTAAAAATTGTTGCACTGTACCGTCTGGCAGCAACACAGTTGTAGCTTGCTACGGTCAAACTAAAGGACACTTTATTGCATCATCCTTGATGATCACACACACATATTATCAACATGAGCAAGAGATTTCATTCCCCAACACTTGCAAAACCTAAAATTGATTTTCTCTCTCAAGTGTGCAGCGGCCTTCATTCTCTCCAAGGCAATGAAGAACAAAACAGCAACATAACAAAGGATCAGATTCCAACATTAATTATGTCGTATGTCCTTTAGTATTGTTGTGTCTTTGTATTGTGTTGTAAATTGTAATTCCT